TTATGAAGAAAATAATGGTAATTTTAACTATAATTGAAATGATTGCTGAATTTGATCTTATTATGCAAGAACATATTAGGAGAATTAATGACAAAGAAATTCATAATCATTATATTGGATATAATATGCAAAACGAACTTATTAGTTTATTAGGAGAAGTTAAAACTAAAATTATTAAAAAAGTAAAAGAGGCTAAATATTTTTCAATAATACTTGATTGTACTCCTGATACAAGTCATAAGGAACAAATGTCAATTATTTTACGATGTTTAGATCTTTCAACCACTCCAATAGAAGTTAAGGATTACTTTCTAGGATTTTTAGTTGTAGATAATACAACCGGTAAAGGTTTATATGATGTTATAGTTGATGAAATTAAAAATATAGGACTAGATATAAATGATGTTAGGGGTCAAGGTTACGACAATGGTTCAAATATGAAAGGAAAACATCAAGGTGTACAGAAACAATTGTTAGATATTAACCCTAGAGCATTCTACACTCCTTGTGGTTGTCATAGTTTAAATTTAGTAATTTGTGATATGGCTAATTTGTGTGAAAAAGCTAGTGAATTTTTTGGAGTTATACAACGCATATATTCAATATTTGCTTCATCAACTCAAAGGTGGAAAATATTACAAGATAATATATCAAACCTAACACTTAAATCACTATCCCAAACTCGTTGGGAAAGTAGGGTAAAAAGTGTAAAAGCAATTAGATTTCAAGCACCACAATTAAGAAAAGCACTTTTACAATTATCTAAAAATTGTGGAGATCCAAAAATTAAAAGTGAGGCTAAATGTTTAGCTACATATGAACTTGAAAACTATGAATTTTTATTAGGAATGATTATTTGGTATGATGTTTTGTTTGCTATTAACACTGTTAGTAAAAGCTTGCAATCAAATGATATGTGTATCGATGATGTTATAGATCAACTAAATGGACTTTTGTGTTTCTTTGAAGAATATAGAGAAACCGGATTTGAAAAGGCTTTAGATTATGCAAAAGAATTGGCTTTAGAAATGAATGTAAAACCAGAATTTCGTGAAAAGTGTATCATTCAAAGAAATAGACGATATGATGAAAATGTTGCTAATGAAACTATTAAAACTCCTATTCAGTTATTTAAAACTGATTACTTTTTATATATAGTAGATAAAGCCATTACTTCACTTAAAAGTAGATTTAAGCAATTTAATGAGTTCAAAAATATTTTTGGTTTTCTATGTAGTATAGAAAAAATAAAATCATTTGATGAAAATTCTTCAAAAAAACATTGTTTAAATCTTGAAAAAACTTTAAAGCATAATGATAGCTTAGATATTAATGGTTTAGATTTATTTCATGAACTAAAACTATTAAGACATATTGTACATTTAGAACGTGATACAATTATTAATATACTTAATTACATTAAAAAGTTTAGTTCTTTTCCAAATGCATATGTTGACTATAGGACTATGTTAACTATTCTTGTAACCATTGCCTCTGCCAAAAAAAGTTTTTTTAAATTAAAACTATTAAAAAATTATTTAAGATCTACAATATCACAACAAAGATTAAATGGATCAGCAATTTTATCAATTGAAAAACAGTTAGTAAAAGAAATTGATTATGAAAATTTCATTAAAGAATTTGCATCTAAAAAAACTAGAAAAATTAACTTTACGTCATAAAATATATTCACAAAAAACATATACATAAAAAAAAAAAAAATTAACTCCGCCATTTATAAACTTTTTAGTTTATTATTACTGGTATCAAGCCCGGATAAACGAGAAAGGTTTATAACATTAAGTATAGTAAATGTCAAAAGGTTCCAAATTTTTTGTTCATTTAGAACTCCCAAACTCGTTGAGCCAGCCCTGCTGATTTCTCAAATACATACAGATATATAGTCATTATTTTTGTAGAAGATCATAATTGTATACCAAAAGAGTCCACATATCATAGGTGATTTTGGACCATGGTGCGTAGTATTGCAAAAAAAATATTTTGATTTGCGAAAAAAACGCTAACTCATGACCCATTTGTTAAATATCTTTATCATTATGGAGACTAGACTGGTGGGCATGGTAGTGTGTCAGGTTAACCGATTAGGGTTCAGTCGGCCGCCCTAATCTGTAATCAGTTAAAAGGTTTGGTTAGGAAAGAAGATTTTATTTACGTAAGGTCCGACAAGTTATGATATTTTTACACGAGTTTTCAAAAAAAAATAATAAATAAAATAAATAAATAAAAAATAAAAAAACCAACCGCTAAGCACTAGATTTTTCTATAATGGCTAATACATAAACCTTTAATCCTATTCTTAAAGAGTTAAAGTTGAATTTTTGTCCACGGTATTTGAATTCCCAATCTACATTAGATCTTAGACGATTCTCATTGGTAACTAAAATCAACCAAACTATCTATTATAAAAATTAATTTTTTTCTCTTCCACCTATACAACCCAACTAAATCCCAACATTAATCCCCATTAACAACCCAACAAATCTAATCTTTTATAAAAGAAATATAATTTTTAACTATTTTTATTCTATAAATTATCTATATCAATATTGGTCTCTATTTATAAAGCAAAAAAAGATATAAATCTTGATATATTTTATTGATTTTATTTACAAACAAATCAACTGTTATTTTATTGTTTATTATATCTAGTTAAAAAAACAAAATAGAAGAACCAATAATATAATTCCATGTAGGTGCGACTAGGACTTTATTTTGGTGGGTGTACCAACGTTAGTTGGATCAAGTCGGTTGTTTATTTTCTTATATTCTTTTTTTTAATTGTTTTTAACGATCGAATACATTTTCAGTTGTCAATGACAATAGTCTTATAGGATGATATTGTTAGACGACCCGCTCTTTGGTTGTGTATTAAATTATAGTAAATGTTATAATTTATTTATTTTTTGTATTTATTAGTGAAATAAAATTAAAAATATTTATTTGATTGGGATTTAATATTTGGTTGCAATTTTATTAAAATGACTTATTTTAAATCTCCTAAAAAGAATCCGACCCGCTATGAAGGCCCGACTATTTATATCAGCTGTTTGGCTGTATATTAAATTATAGTAAATGGCCCGTTTTGCCCATTTCTAGTTTCAAGTATTCGTTTTTACTTGTTGGATCTACTGAAAGTAGAAAGGTAAGGCCCAAACAATGCCTAATAAATGAATAATGCACTGAAAGTATTTATTTATTTATTTATTATTATTTGGAGAATGCCGATATAGAGAAAGCATATATGACTTCATAGCATTTAACATATTACCACACAAATCTTCAATTAGATGATAGCTAAGTATAACTACGATAAATGTGCAACTAAAACAATTCTAAAGAGGAAATTGAAGAATCAAAAGTAAAAAGAAGGTCTACGTCAATTTTGAATTCAGAAATTGGTAAGTTTGAATCTTTAAAGTCAAAAATACCAAACCAACTTGTGTTTTGTGTTTATTTTGAAGTAAACAACATATGCAATGTTTTTGCTTTTAGTATCGCATAGTTGGCATCATAAAATCTTGATTTCTCAAAATGCACCCTCTTCATCAAGGTTCTTTCAAAAAATCTAGCATTCTTCTCTTATTTTAACTTCAAATTTTAATTCATTTGTTTTTTTTTTACAAGAAAATACATAATTAAATAGGAAACACATGATTTATTTTATGTTTATAACAATGATAATACGATTCAATTTTTTTTTTTTTTTTATCAAAAGTAAACTTCAGACTCATACAATACTTACGGTACCTTTCACACCACGTGGATTGAGCAAACCATCCTCCAAGAGAAACAAGTGGCTACCCAAATGTAATCATCGGACCTATTTAATTGTTCTGGATTTACTTGTTTATGGATTTGGCTATGTATGTAGTTACTAGAGTTTACAGTTATAAGTATTCATGGTTAGACCGCTTTTGAAAAAGTGAAGTATTAGATAAAATTGTCACGGTCTGTCTGTAGATCTATGTCATATCATACAAACCACATTATTTTGTGGGTTGTTTTATTGTTTTCTTTCCCTTTATTGCTTAATAAATCATGCATCTTGCAAATTGTCTGCAAAAATCATTTAATTCTACTAAACTACTATATGAATGGCCCCAACTACAAACCTCTATTTTAATTCTACTAAACTACGAATGGCCCCAACTACAAACCTCTATTTTACCATTTAATAAAATAACATCATATATCACTATAGATATTTCTCAAATTGAAATGTAACTTTAACCTTAAGAAATTGCGTTTCAAAAGAGAAGATATCATGGCTCAAATTTATGTATTCTCATTTCCATGGAACTATGAGGATTAAGTCTTCAAATTCCACAAACAACATAATATTTCAGAAAAGCTTTTGTAAAAAAAAAAAAAAAAAAAAAATAGTAATTTCGCATTTCACAAGTCATATTAAGAAATATGTGATTATTTCACTATAGAAAAAGCAATCATAGTACCCCCCCTTGTTTAGTTTATTTTAGTGAATAATACCCCTTATATTTGTAGATTAAAATATTAAGTTATGAGTTGTAATGATTTTAAAACGTGCAAGATTCTTTGTGGCTCAAAAAAAAAAAAAAAAAAATCCACCTAAAGATCTCCTAAACGCAACATTATATGAACGTGTATGGTTGATACCAAACATCCTTTTACACTCGCTGCAACCAAACGACAATATTTTGTATCACTTTCCCTGTTCATGACAGCCTCTACACTTTCGACCACTTCAACTCGCATAATGCAATAAATAATCTATCATTAAAAACATTCCACAAAGTAGGAAAATCTATATTCATATTTCTAACCAATAAGGATTCCCCACACAAATGTTTTTTTTTTTTTTTTGGATTTTATGCCGTCAAAAAGTTACAAACCCAGAATTTTTAAACCTGTCCCACAACTATAAAACACTAAAAGAATCATGTCAGATGTCACCCAAAATTTTTAAAGGATTAAAAACTGATTTTTATTTATTTATTTATTTATTCTCTCTCAATCTGAATGGTGACATGGCTGATGTTATACTCTCTTTTGATATAATCCACGACCTTATCAAGAACCATATCAGCATCAGCTTCAGGCCTAATCCTGACGTGGCATGCCAACAACACTTTCCCAACAGTAATTGCCCAAATATGCAACTCATGAATCGCAACCACTTCTTCTATTTCACAAAGCCCTCTTTCAAGACTTGTTGCATCGATTTCTCTTGGTGTGCTCTCCATTAACACCTCCAATATGTCCCGAAGCATATTGATTGTTGTATACAGAACAATCACCGAAAACAGCAAAGTACATATCGGATCTATTACTTTTAAGCTTGGTTTGTACCATATTACCCCTGCCCCTATCATTACCCCGATACTCTGTATTAAATCCCCTAAAACATGAAGATACGCACCTTGCACATTTATATTCCCCCTTTTCTTCGTTTCTTTTGATGAGTAGGTTTTCAATAGAGGCTCATTATGTCCTTCATCATGATCATGTTCATGACCATGACCATGACCATGACCATGATCATGACCATGACCATGACCATGACCATGATGTTCGTGGGTTGTGACACTAACTCCATGGATATGTATTATCATCTTCGCCATGATCATGATCATGATCATGTCCATGTCCATGGCTATGTCCATGTCCATGGCTATGGCCATGATCATGGCCCTAGTATGAACATCATGAGAATGTTGACAATCAAGCCAAATGACGCGATGCCAAACATTAGACTGCCTTCGACATCAACAGTGCCATGAAGGAGACGATCAATGGCTTCATAAACAAGGATTCCAGTTAACAACCAAATGATTTGGATCGAAACTAAAGTCCCAAGGATTTCAATCCTGAAAAACCCGTAAGATTGCCTGGGTGTGGCTTCCCATCCAGAAGCCCAAACAGAGAACAGAGAGATTGCAAAAGCTGCAACATCTGATAACAGATGGGCTGCATCTGTAAGAATTGCAAGACTGTTTGCTTTGATTCCACCTACAACTTCCACACTCATAAATATCACACACAGGATCACTCCGCACCAGAGCTTCCACATTGATGCTGATCTTTCTTTTGCCTCCCTGGAGGTGGTTTTTGAGTCTGAGAATCCACATGGTGCTCCACCACAAACCTTGCTTACAGTTTGCCTGTTGTTCTCATGGGTTGCAGATATGTCAACAGCGTGTCCATGTTCATGGTTTTCAGCATCCATCTGTAACATCAAATCATTATTACATACACAAAACTGTGTGTCATTATGTAAGATAAATGATAGAAACATCACATTAGGTCATTTTGCCAAATCAGCAATCAAACTAGGGTTTAGATTAGCTCATACGGATTTGTCTGACAATTGATTCAACATAAATAATATCAACTTGAAAAAAGTAACGACAAAACACAACAAAGGAAATCTGTAGCACATTAACATCAGGATTTTGAATTCATAATAAGAAGAACCTTTAGATTGTGTTAGACTTTCAAAACTGAATGTAGAAAAACAGTAGAAAAAACCACCTTATGGACCTGATGTAAGGTAGATCAAAATGAACAAGTGCAAAAACTGTTTACAAATCACTTTAAGAAGAAAAAATATAAACAAACGACCATCAATCAATCACTGTGAAGGATTATACATACACGTACAGAAGAAAGGGGTCTATGAACAAGGATTTGACAGGACGCATACAGCAGTTGACGATTATTCTATGTGAAATGAATCCTTTAAACAGCACAAACTAATAATGGGAATAAGGGATTATAAATGTCCAAAAAGTAAGGGACGAGATTCCAAAAGGTGTGGCTACCAATAATACTATTCGAGTACAAAGATAGGATATTCCAATCACAAACGAAGTTATGCAAATAATCAAACGTCGCCACAGATGAACTTAAATCCATGGAATACTGAAAAAGATAGAGAATCGTAGGGTTTACCTTCAAGCAATCGATTAGATATAGAAGAACCCAAAACCCCTAGGTTTTAATTTCAGAGCTCGCGATGATCAGAAGGGAAGGGATTCTGTATGCGTAATGCGAAGCAGCAGGGGTTATCATGGATTTATATAGAGAATCGAATGGCGTCTCCATTTGTTTTGTGTTTCTGGGTATGTAATCCTTCCCGATTTAGGTAACGATTGATAAGTTCGGTTTTTAATATTATTTCTATAAAAACTTTACATTTTACATTTAAGTTCTTTTTGTTTTTAGATCTAAATTTTTTTTTAATAAATCAACAAATTTTTATCTATTATTATCTTATATTATATTTAGAGTTTTCTATTTTTAGATTTAAATTTTTTCTTTTTCGAAAAATATAAAATTTTTATTTATTATTTTGTTAGTTCACTTCAACGGGTAAATTGAGGTTTTTTGTTTTAAAGATCAATTTTGCATTTTTCCATTTTAGACCTAAAATCTTTTTTTCAAAATAAACCTAAGTTTAACATATTTTTTGAGTATTTCATTAATAAAGTCAATTACTAAAGCTGGAAGGTATGGAGCGGAAAAGGAAAGCATGAGAGCTTCCCTCTCATTGGAACATCGTCTCCTGGCTGAGGAAACAACTCGCGGGAAAGAGGTGGAGAGAGGGGGTGTCGCACTTTATCTCTTGTCGCACTTTATCTCTTCATTCTATTGGACAATTTTTTTAATATTTATAAAATTATATATCTACTAAAAAATCTAAAAAATATATTAAAATTTATGATTTTTTATTCCCTACAAAATGAGTATAATATATGTATGAAATATATATTTTTTTTAAAAATAACAAAATAATAAGAGGATTCCTTGGGTTTTAAGTGAATGAAAAGTAACAAAAAGGATTGTGTGACCCTCAAAAAAAAAAAGGAAACATCCTTTTACGGTCTAACATGTAATCTAAGGGGCTGTTTGTTTTTTGTGTGAAGATCTGCGCAACCACTTTTGTCTGCACCGCGCAGACAACGCGCAGACATATGTCCTCGCAGATTGTTTGTTTTTTAGAAGTGCGCAGATCAGAAAACGTCTACGCGAGGTCTTCCTGGCGCAGACATGGGCCACTGTCTTCAAAGGTCTTCAGACCTCATTTTAACCTAAACCAAAAAAAAAAAAAAACATGGCCATCGTGCAGTTTTTTTTTTCTTTCATTTTTTTGTTAAAAATACATTTTTAATGTTTATAACATGAAATTAAGTTTAAAAATTCAATTTATTTTAATTGCCCGCAGACGTTAAAAACAAACAGTCTTCTTATTGCAGACTGCAGACATTTGATCCACCTCTTCTACCGCACAGGCTTGCAGATGTGGTCCGCAGACTGCAGACATTTTGACTTCAAAAAAACAAACAGCACCTAAATCATATGTTCCGTAAGCATCACTCATCTAAAACATCAATCGATTTCAAATCATAGATCACCTTTCTACTTCTTTTTATTATACACTATATTGAATCCTTAGAAATAACTTTATTTTCAAGCTAATATCATAAAAAGATGGTGTTTGTTTTTTTTATACTATTATTGAGCACTTATGTCTGTGGGTGGAAAGACTCTTCATTTTTTAAATGATTGTAGACGTCAAAAATATATACGTCTTCTTCTCCAAAAAAGACAAGGACCAAAGTCTGCACACACGAAGATATTTTTCGCATACGTTTTGTATGTGTATTTGTGTGTGTCTATATATATATATATATATATATATATATATATATATATATATATATATATATATATATATATATATATATATATTCTAAATGTTGGTTTTTTATATTTAGCTAATATTTATATTTATTTAATTTTTCATACAGATAAATGAGTCAAATTAAATGATTCAGTTATAAAATGAAACTTCTTAGTAGTTAATACAAAATATGAAATAAATAATTATTTAAAAAATATATTGTGGTTGTTTTGATTATATTTCAATGTTGTAAATTTAGAAATTATTAACTTTTAGTGTTTAAAAAAACACACTTAGTGAAAAAATCACGTTTGTTCACATTAGACGTAAACGTAGATAAAAATAATTAAGTAAGATTGTTTTTTTAAATTAACAAACGAAAGTTCAAATAATCATAAACATATTATATATGATCTGACGCATACGTTGGAAACATCTAAAAATAAGCAACAAAAAAACGTCAAAAAGAAAATTTTGACTTTGTACCGACACATACATATAATAAAGAAAGTAATTTTTAAAAAGAAATTTAATGAACAAAAATTTTAAATATATGTCGAAACGTTAACGACTTCAAATTTATACAAACACATACATAAAAATGAACACGTAAAAATAAACACGATTTCAAATAAACAGGAAATTTTTGCCTTCAAATGTCTTGGACCACATTTTTCTTCTTCCAGCACCGTTGGCTTCCTTTTCATTTGAGCATGTATTTGCTACTCCAAAATAGATTTCAAACATAATTAGTACCTTATGTCCCAAAATAAACATAATTATAGATAAAAGTATTAGAAATACGTACGAAATATATGACCAAATATGTGTATATCGCCGACTCTAATCAAAAAACCAAATACAAATCTCAATTGATCGAGCTTCTACTATAAATCTATAATCAACACAAAATCACTAAGTCTAACACAAAATCACTAAGTCTAACGATACTTCACGAACACAGACAACGAAACAAGTCTTTCGATCTTGTTCTAGTAATAGAAGTGGATTGAAAGCTTATGACAATGAACAACATTAACTAAGATCTCAACAACTACCCGACTTTAACTTGTATGTGTAAAAGTTTCAGAAGTTTCTGAAGTACATAAAGGAACAAAAAGAAAAATATTGTGGATGTGGCAAGAAAACTAGTAAAAACATGTCAAGGGGACTAAATAGACAAGTTGATCACGAGTTCATTCCCACGAAAAACCACGAAAATAGTTTAGAGAATAAATGTATAAACTTTATAAAGTTTGTAGGGAGTTTGTGCTAATTCTCATTTTAAAAAAAGACCTAAGTGTATTAGTTATTATTTGTATTAGTTATTATTGGAGCTTAAAAAGCCTTAACATGTTATCAACAAGTAAATTTAGTTTTTTTTTTTATTATTATTATTTTTTTTTGTATTTTTTATCATGAAAGATCTTATATTTGTGTTTTTTTAATTTTTTTAATTTTAGACCTAAACTTTTTTTTTTCAAAATAAACTCAACTTTAAAATATTTGTTGTTATTTCATTAATGGAGCTTATTTATTGTTATTTCATTAATGAAGCTGGTTATCAACATGTAACCGTATATCCCCTAACCCATATGCCCTTATGTATCAACTATCTATACATCTAAAACATATTTTTACTTTTAAACACCTCAAAAGGATGCATTTATACTTCTAAAAAAAATGCATTTTTGACTTCTAAAGTCACAGAATATATATTTACTTTTGAAAAACATAAAAATAGATATTTATACTCCTTTTCAAAATATTTATTTATATTTCTAAAAACTATATGTATACTTCTAATACACACACACAAATATATATATATATATATATATATATATATATATTATATATATATATATATATATATATATATATGTGTGTGGGGGGGGGGGGGTGTTTAAGAATGTTAGTTTTCACTAGGGTTGTAAAACTCGGCCAACTCAGTTAAGTACTCGGTCAAGTACTTGGACTCGGCCACTTACCAAGGCGAGTTAAGCCATCACGCCCAAATAACTTGGAATTAGGTCAACCTCGGTCAAAATTTGTCCAACTTGGGAGTGCGAGTGAGAAAAGTCTTAATATTTTAGGAAAAGTTTCACTTTTGTCCCAAATTTTATTTTTTAAACAGAAAAGTCTCGATTATTTGATTTTACACGATAATATGTTATTTCCTATTAAAAGAAAAAAGGACTTTTATGTTAATTTGAACAAAAATGAAATAATCAGTATTTTTCTGTTCAAAAAATAAAATTTAGGACTAAAATGAAATTTTTCTGAAAATATTGTGACTTTTCTGACAATTTCCCTTTGGGATTTATGAAACAATAGAAAAAATGAAAGAAGATGGTAGAAATGGTAAAGGAAATAATCCGGATGTAAATGAAGAAGATACTCCAGTCAATGTTATCAAGAATGCCAATATTCACGAGGAGGGGCATTTTCGGAAATTTTTTGAAAAAAGGATATTCATAATTTTTCTTCACCAATCCCTGTTCCAAATCAGTTCGTGAATGAATTCTCCACATAAGAACCTAATGACCACTTCTTGAAATCTTCTTAGCCACCAAAACAGTGCCCGATGGTCAGTATTCGGTGGCAGTCACTGTTCCGGCAGAGGATGCAGTCCTGGCAGCAAGTCCAGCTCCTTCTGCTGCTTCGGTCACAGACACGCCCCGATTCAGTTCTAATCAGAAAAAAAACTTGTTGGAATAAATAAAGCTCCAATATGTTTTTCTGGTGGATTTGGTCGGGTGTTGGATATCTTTAGATTCTGAGGATAATTTGACTCATCCTCCAGGTTTTTCTAATTAGAATAATTTAGATGGGTGCTCGGATAATTCATTTAACAATGTGTTTTTATTGAGTGAGATTCAAAAAACCTTGGATATTAGGAAGGCCATGGGATATAACTTAGATGGGTGTTATGAACGGGTAAAAGAAATTGTTGAAGGGAAGGGAGATAAATTGGTGTTGAGATGAATTGTATCTCATCAATATTCAAGGAGCGGGTTGCAAAGATAAACGTATTTGGGTTCAAACTTTATGTCATAAACATAAAGTTAATTTGTTGGATATTCAAGAAATGAAGATGGAAGTTATAGACGTTCGTATGAATCGGTCTTTGTAACATCCGGATTTTTCCCAGGTATAATGAAAGTTTAATTATGTTATTTTGTAGAGGGACTCGGCGAGTCGGGGCTCAGACTCGCCGAGTAGAGACGCGGGATTGAGCGAAGGTGCGCGCTTGGACTCGGCGAGTCCAAGGTATGGACTCGGCGAGTCTACGCTGTGTAGTGAAACCCTAAATCTCCGGGTTTGTGGCCTATTTAAAGGGCCTTATGGCCGTCATTTGCGCTCATCCAACCCCCAGAGTGTGTCCCTAGAGTTCTTGAGCGTTTGGTGAAGGATTGAGAGCAAATCTTGACCTTGTAAGTGTTGTTTAGCAAGAAGAAGGAGGCTCTAGGCAAGAGGAAGCAAAGGAGGTTGCTATTTCGTGGATTTGGAGCTTGGATCATCACTCTAGAGGTATTATTTTCGGACCATTTCCTGTTTGATGAACTTGATGCAAGTTAGGGCTTAATATGATCATTTTTGGGGTGATTTGGTGTCCTTTTCATTCCCTCTTTGAGTTGAGACCATGGATCTGGATCCATAGAGGTCCAGAGGGCCTCACTCATCAAGCTTTATGGGTGAAAATGGAGTCCTTGGCCTTGTGTTGAAGTAATAGAGTCAAAATCATCATTTGTGGTCATGTAGAGGATATTTATGCATCAAGATTGTAACTTTACGTGCCAAATAAGCATGGGGGGACCGGATCTATGGATTAGTGGACTGGATCTGGCCTTTTGAGCAAGATTGAGTCAGTGCATGGCATGGACTCGCCGAGTAGCTTGAATGTTGCACGACCACTCAGTGAGTGGCCTCGCCGAGTTGGGATGAGTGAACTCAGTGGGTCAAAGGGGGAGTCAGGATGGACAGGTGGACCGAGTCAAACTGGACTCGCCGAGTTGTTCTTGAGACTCGGCGAGTTGAGTCGTGGTGGCCCCACAACTCGTGCCAGGTGGAGCTCGTCGAGTTGGGGGAAATACTCGACGTGTCAAGGGAGGATTCCAGGGAAGTTGGTGCATGCGCACGGACTCGCCGAGTCGCCATAGTGCACTCGCCGAGTCCGGTCAAAGTTGACCGTTGACCGTTGACCAGCGTTGACCAAGAGTGATTTGTTATAGTGTGATCAACTCTAGATTGGGAGAGTGTTAATTAGAGATGTATTGTGCTATAGGGGGACTACAGCTCGGCGGATCGGGTGTTTAGTGATTTCAGGGTTACGAGTTACCGAGACACACGAGGTGAGTCTCCTCACTATACTTTACCTTGAGTAGGTAACCAGAGTTATGTGTTAGAGTATTTGTATGCTATGTATGTTATGTGTTGTACTGCATGATTTATATGTGATTTATGTGGTGCATGTTTATCAGAGCTAGAACCTGAGGGTTCACAGAGTTTGGGTGCACGGACCCACAGAGTTATAGCCTCGAGTGGCTAATATGTGTTTTATGTGGTATTTTGGGGAACTCACTAAGCTTTGTGCTTACAGTGTTGATGTTATTTGTTTCAGGTGTTAGCGACGACCG